TCATACTTTGATTAGTGATTTCAGGAGAAATCTTTTTTTTTCTAATATGAATGAGATAAATGGATAATTGGAAAAGAATGGACAAAAGATACAAATATAATGATTTAAATTAAGATGAAATAAATAAAATAGAATTAAGAAGAGTAGAAAGCGGGGAGAAGTTATAATGAAGATATAGAAGGGTAAATAAGATAGGTAATGGCATATAAGTTGAACATGAATTTAATTGAAGTCCATACAAAGAGAGGTAATCCGGGGCCAAGCTACTTTTTAAAAAGAAGTTTTATGTTTTTGTGTTTTGTGTGTGTATGTTTGATTGAGATTTAATAAAACCTTGGGAGAAAGCGAGAAGAATAATTGTAAACAAGGCAGAGGGAAATATGAATATGATGAGTATAAAATGGATAAATATAGAAGAAATGTAATTGAATAAGAGCAAAGAGAAATAATGAGAAATCTGCTAAAAAATATTTAAGTGGAAATGGGATATATTAGAAGTATATTGTATAAAACAATGTTTTATCTGCCTTGTAAAAATTTATAATGGAAAGAGGTTTAATGTCTTTAATGTCTAATGATGCTTTGTTTGTCTTTAAAATTAATAAAATTTGTTTCAAAAAAAAAAAAAAGAGCAAAGGGAAAGGAGTTGCCAAGTCGTTTCCTCAGCTCTAAGATGCCGACTTTTCTCTTCTCTCTATCCCGAGCTAGTCCTGAAAAGAATTATCTGGCCCTGCTGGCCAGGGATGATGGTTACTGTAGTCACAATGCACCGAGTTGTCAAGCTGTTCTGTTGGGAAGAGAGGAGGGCGGCTTTCCAGAATTCCTCCTTAAGCAAGCTTGCCACTCATCCAATCCTTCCCTTGCCGGGAAGCATGGGAGTTAGAATCCAGGCTGATAAAAAAGAGAGAAGAGAGAGAGGAGACAGAAAGAAGAGAGTAAAAAGAGAAAGAGGAAAGAAAAGAGAGGCGAGAGAAAGGTGAGAGAAAGAGTAGAAAAAGGAAATAGAGGAGAAAGAGAGAGGGGAGAGAGAGGACAGAAAAGAGAGGAGAAAGAAAGGAAAGGAGAGGAGAAACAGAGAAAGAGGGAGGAGAGAAGAAAGAGAGAGAACAGAACAGAAAAGAGAGGAGAAAGAAAGGAAAGAGAGGAGAAACAGAGAAAGAGGGAGGAGAGAAAAGAGGAGAGGAAAGGGAGAGAACAGAACAGAAAAGAGAGGAGAAAGGAAAGGAGAAACAGAAAGGGGGAGGGAAAAGAGGAGAGAGGAAAGAGAGAGAACAGAAAAGAGAAAGAAAGAGGAAAGAAAAGAGAGGAGAGGAAACAGAGAGAACAGAAAAGAGAGGGAAGAAAGAGAAAAGAGAGGAGGAAAGAAAAGAGAGAGAAAAGGGGAAAGGAGAGAAAGGAGAAAGAGGAAAAAAAGAGAGGAGAGGAAAGAGAGAGAACAGGGGAGAGAACAGAAGAGAGGAGAAAGAGAGGGGAGAAAGAGAGGAAAGGAGAGAAGAAAAAAGAAATGTTTCGCAAAGCGCCTCTCCTGTAGGCAACCACAGAAGCAGCTGAACTCAGGCCCTGTTGATGGGTGCGAATAAAGAGGGTTTTTTTTCTCATTCAATGAACTTCAGGGGCTGTGCTAGATGGGCATGGGAGTCCAGGTGGAGAAGGGGAGGCTTCTTCCAAGAGGCTAAGCCACCCCAGAGTTCAAAAGATGGGTATTGTAGTCCCCATGCACCTGCAGGAGCAGCTAACCCACCGGAAGGCGGTTGGGGGGGGGGGTTGCAGGAAGCAGGGAAGGGGGCTCGGCTGGCCCGAAGCCGGCCCTGCTCCAAGGCTGCCGGCCGGGCAAAACGACAGAGACCGGCCTGCTGTACCTTCGCTCCGCCCCGCGTCTTCGGCTCTTCGCCCCGCAGCCAACCAGCCCCGCGTCCCTCCGCTCGCTCGTCGCGACGCTTCCCAGCCCTGCGCGACCCTTCGGCTCTTTCCGGAGCCGCTCAGCGGCCGTCGCGCTCCGCCCGAACACCACTCTCGGAGGCCTTCGCGCCTGCCCGAACCCCGGTCGGCCGCGCCCGGCGAGAAGCCGAGCGGGAGGAGTCGCTAGCCGAAGGCACTCGGGCTTCGGGGGGGGGGGGGGAGAAGAAAAAAAAAAGAGCCTTCGGGGATTTTCGGCTTCGGAGCGTTCCCGGGCTGAATATATATATATTTCCTTCCCGTTTTCTCTCTCTCTCGGCTGCGGCTGGGAGGCATGATCCCGTGCAAAGAAAGCACCCGCGTGCAAATGCTGCAGATACGGGTCTGGGTGGGTTGCAGCCCGATCTCCTGGGTCTCTTTCTGGGGGGATGCAGTAACATTGGCACGGGGTGCCCGTTGCAAATCTGCAAAACTCTCTTCGCAAGAGTTAGCATCCCAACAAATATATATATATATAATGGGAGATTGGACGTCGGTTCCTTGCTGAGCGTCAGCTCTGCTCCTGAATAAACGGAGGAAATTCCATTTAAGATAGTGGCCGAAAAGGGATTTTAGCTCTTAGGGAGGTCCAAAGGAACAAAAATCCTGAATCATCTTTTAGAGATTCTAGATAGATTAGATAGATTAGATTAGATTAGATTAGATTAGATTAGATTAGATAGATAGATAGATAGATAGATAGATAGATAGATAGATAGATAGATAGATAGATAGATAGATAGATAGAGACATGTTTTCTTAACATATATGTTTTCTTAACTCTCTCTCTATATATAATATACATGTATATATTAAAGATATAATTATATATATAAAATCTATACATCTCAGATATATATATATATAGATGATAGATAGATAGATAGATAGATAGATAGATAGATAGATAGATAGATAGATAGATAGATAGATATAGATAGATATAAATTATATATATAAATGATATAAGGTACATATATAAAAGATATATATAAAATATACACATATATATTAAAGATATCATTATATAAAATCTATACATCTCATATACATACATACATACCCAATAGTCTAGATTTGCACCCTCTGAACCCTAAACTTAAAAACGCAACCCATTTCTTCCAGCAAATCAACATCCATTGGTTGTGTTTTAAGGGCTTTGCAGCAAAAAAAGGAAAGTGCATGGGTGTGAAAGAGCCATTTGTGTGAATTGGCTTTTGATATTCTTGAGGCCCAGGGGGCTTAGCTTATCAAAAGCCACCAACTAACTCATCTTTCTTTACAAGCAGCTCCTGTTAAAGTACTGCAAGTTCTTACCTTCCTATTATGATCTGTAGTAGTTTTTATCAGCATGAGAAGATGGGCATTTTTCCCATTTGAAAGGCTTTGTTTATTCGATTCGGTTTTTGAGCTTTAAATCTTAACTTTCACCAATAAAATTGTGATGCTCTCCCCAGAATACATATGCAATGTATTCTCCCCCACCCACCGACCCTGGGGGGGGAAAAACTGTTTTTAAGAGTTATTCTCAACCACAAACCAGCCAAACCTTCTATTGTATACCAGCCCAGCCTATGTGGATTACAACCTCAAAGAATTAGGCTAAATAATTCTACTTATATAGAGCCTGTGCTCTGACTTGCATTATATTTAATATCTTCCCACTGGTGATCTGGCTTTTAATTCATGCCCCTTGCTTTTAAACCTCTTTCATGGAACGTTTTTTACTGTTAGTTATATCATGCCCAGAGACGGGGGAAGAGATGGGCAGCTGTAGAAATTTGACCAATAAATAAAGGATATGGTACACTGCCCCCCTCCTTTTAATATATTATGGCAAAGTTTCTATCCATTAATAATGATTTTAGGTTAGCCCCCAGCTCTCTTCTTTTGCAAAGAAAAAAAAAAAAAGAACCCACTCCCCACATAGATCAATCCCCTCCATGGCTCCAGCAGGTGTCAAAGGTGGAATTTCATCCCTGCTGCAGGTCTCCAATCTGAAGTTGATAGGATCATATAAGTCTGTACAGATTCTCCGTCCTCCAGGTAATCCTGGTTGTCCCAAAGGTGCTTTTTTTTTTTTTTTTTTGAAGAGGCAACTGGATTTTCTGGGCTTTTTTCTTTGAAGATGTTTCGCTTCTCCTCCAAGAAGCTTTCCCACCATCGAGTCAGAACTGAAGAAGCTTCTTGGAGGAGAAGCGAAATGTCTTCAAAGAAAAAACCAGAAAGTCCACTTACCTCTTGAAAAAAAAAAAAGCACTTTTGGGACAACCACGATTACCTGGATGACTGAAAATCTCTGTAGACATTTGTCCCAAAGGTACTTTTATTTTATTTTTTTCAGGAGGCAACTGGACTTTCTTGTCTTTTTCTTTGAAGACCTTTCGCTTCCCATCCAAAAGGCTGCGAATGACCAGCTCTGTTTGCAAGGAATATCAATCCTTCCATCGCCCACCATCCAGTCAGAGCTGAAGAAGCTTCTTGGATGGGAAGTGAAAGGTCTTCAGAGGAAAAAAATCAAGGAAGTCCAGTTGCCTCTTGGGAAAAAAAAAAAAAAGCACCTTTGGGAGACGCATCCTACCTATAGGATCCTATTGGGATCCATCCTTCTCCTGGGGAGAATTTGGGGGAGGGGGTGTTTTGAAATAAAGCAATTCGGCCCGAGGCTCCAAAGGCTTCTTGGGGGCTCGTGCAGGAGGGACCCAGCCTTCTTCCCATATCGAGGAGGCGCCGGTTGGAGGGCACAGCAGCACCGGGGAAAACGTATCCACCGCAACCAGCCGGGCTGGCTTGGCAGGGAGAAGGGAGAAGGCCTCAAGGCAAAACAGCTTCATCGGCCTGGCCGCCTTCTCGCCCACTTGGCAGCATGCGGGAGCCAGCCAAGCTCGGGGCTGAGCGGGAAGCCCGGGCCAAGCCCGGCCCGGCCACGCGTCCGCCGCCCTCCCGCGAACAAGGCCGGGCGGGCATCGCTCGCCCAGCCCGGGTTTCTCCCCCCCACTCCCCGTTCCCGGCTCCCGTGCTCCGGCCTGGTCTCTCCGAGGGAGGCCGAGGACGGCGGTTCTTACCCGCAGCCTTGCCGCCCGCCTCGCTCATGGCGCCCGGCTCCATCGCGTCTCACCGGCGGCAGCCCATCCGAGCACAAAGGAACCGCCTTGCGGAACTCCAGCGGAGCCTGCCCAAGGGAGCCGGGCGGACGGAAAGAGAGAGCGCACCGACCGGAAGTGGCGGGGGAAAGCGGTTCTTCTCCCACGCACGGAGGGTCGGAGGAGCCGAAAAGGAGCCTGCACGGCTTTGTTATGAAGAAGGGGAAGGGGCTGAGGGGAAGATCGAACGGCGGGGCGCGGATCACCGGGCCGGAAGTGAGGCACGGGGGAAGAGGTAAACCGACGGACCGTTTCTTTTTCTTTCTTTTTTTCAGCAGGACTGTCCTGTGAAGGAAAGGGTCCGAAGTGCTTCGGGCGTCCTTTGTGAAGACATCCAGGCTACACGCCGGGTTTCCCTCAGAAAAGCTGCTCGACCGTGCTTAGCACTAGCCGGATCCCGAGTATCGGATTGAAGCGGCGCCGTAAGTGAAGACTTGCGCGCACCTCTTACACTTTCGTGCCTCTAGGGCCAGAAGTAACTCTTCCGAAAAGAAGATGGGAGGCGGCGCGCGGAGCATATGGCGGTTTGCGGATGTGACGTCAGAAAATCGGAAGTCGCGATGTTGGGGCCTAGAGAAGCCGCCGAGGCCTGGCCGACTAAGCATCAGGAGCAGCCGCCATGGGGCCGGTCTCGCGTTCGCGGAGCCCCCTGGACTCCCCGGGGCCCCGTCGGGGACGAGAGAGCGGCTCGGCCAGCCCTTCCCCGTCCAGGCACAGTCGCAGCCGCAGGTCTCGCTCTCGGGAGCGCAACGGCTTCCGACGCCCGCATCACTTCGGTTACCGGCACGACCCGGAGCACTACGGCAAGGAGCAGGAGGAGTCGCTGCGTCAGAGGCGAGTGGCGGCCCGCCGGGTGGACGGGCTCGGCTCTGGGACGGTTGAAAAGCCGAGGTTCTTCTTGTTTGTGGTTGGTCTCGCTGTCAGCCAGATGTTGGGTTTGGGGTCCTCCTGCCCTACCCAATAATGTTATTTACTATTGTTATTATTGTATTACTATTACTACTATTACGGTGTTACTATTATTACTATTACTGCCATTACTATTAATAGTAATAATAGCAATGATTATAATAAACACCAAGGACACTCAGTGTTATTAGTAACCCCCTCCACGGTTACCCTTGTGGGGTAAAAACAGTAAAATAAAACAATAAATACTGTAAAAGTAATAATAGTATTAATAATAGTGATTCTTGACGAATGTATCATTTCTTTTATGTACCCTGAGAGCATTTGCACCAAGACAAATTCCTTGTGTGTCCAATCACACTTGGCCAATGAAGAATTCTATTTTATTTATTTATTTATTCATTCTAACTCCTTATTCCATCTTCTATTCTATTCTAATTCTTCATTCCATTGTTCTATTCTAATTCTATTCTTATTCTTAATATTATTTTAGTCTTATTTTTTCTATTCTATTTAATTCTATTCTTATTCTATTCTAATAGTAGTAAATATTTATTGCTACTATTACTACTATTATATCTACTGCTATATTATCTTATTCATTAAATATGAAACTCAGTCAACTGAACATTTAAAAATGTATCACAAATATGATAGACTGGCGCTAATGGTTGATATGAGTTGCTGCCAGCATCCTTATATTTTATTATTATTACAACAACAACAACAACAACAACCAACAACAACAACAATAATAATTAATAATAATTAATAATAATAATAAATAGTTATCTCATTTGTACACTGTTTTTTGTGTATAACATTACTACTACTACTACTACTACTACTACCATTATTACTATTACTACTATTACGATTATTACTATTTTATTTTACTGTTTTACTATTATCCCACAACAAGGGTAACCATGGAGGGGATTAATAAGATTGAAGGGTCCTTGGTGTTCTCTAAGCTTGGTTGTTTTCATGCAAACGTTTCATTACCCAAGTAGTAACATCATTAGTGCGAGAAGGGAGGGGGGGTTTACTCTTGTTTTATTAGAGCAAGTGTATAAACCGAGAACCAACCCCACTCTCTACTAGCATTGATGACGTGACCTAATTGGGTAATGAAAGGTCTGCAAGAAAACAACCAAGCTCAGAGATCATCAAGGGCCCTACTGTTCAATCCTGAGCTACAAATATTTTCCTTTTTCAATATTATTATTATTGGGCATGTGTGTGTTTCGTAGCTGCTGGAAGGGAAGGATTATCGCCCCGTTTGGGTGGGTGAAGCAATATTGATCCCAAGTTGCAGCAACATATGTTACGGCAGCAAATGATTTTCTGTTCCTTTGTAACTTTTTTGTATGTATTGTAAGAATCTGTTATATATTAGTAGTATTAGTATTATATTAGTATTATTATAGTATATTATTTCTTATGTACACTGAGAGCATATGCACCAAAGACAAATTCCTTGTGTGACCAATCACACTTGGCCAATAAAGAATTCTATTCTATTCTATTCTATTCTATTCTATTCTATTCTATTCTTCTATTCTATTCTATTCTATTCTATTCTATTCTATTCTATTGATTAATAAAGTGGGGGTGTTTGATAAGTACCAGGATAAAACACAGGGCAGATTTGTTAAAATATATATTTTAGAGTGTTTGACAGTTCATTTATTTGACCAAATTTTTTGCTCATCTCCCTAAAAAAGGGAGTCTGGACAGTGAACTAATAAAATACTAAAACTCAAAAATAGGATATAAAATTTAAGAAGGCAATCCTTGTGATTTAACTTATTGATTAAAATTCAGTGTTAAAAGTTAATTAAAAGCTGGGCAGAAGGCTTTCTGAATGCTAGCCAGCCCAGGAGGATAATTGAGGAAGGATTTGCAGTCCTTTTCTTGAAAATCTGAGGGCTTTCTCCACCACTTTTCCATTTGCGCATTAACATTTAAATTTGAAGTGAAGATTTCATTTTCCTGCAGTTCTGACTATAAATATATATTTTTTCACAGACGACTAAATGAGAGAGAACGAATAGGCGAACTAGGAGCACCTGAAATCTGGGGACTCTCACCAAAACTTCCTGAGCCAGAGTAAAACTTGCATTTAATTTAAGTTACATTTGTATTTCACCTTGGGCACTCTAGTTGATAGATCTTAAGATTAAATTCTGCTCTTTAAATCTAGTTCTGATGAACACACACCCGCAGAAGACGAAGATGGGTCATCTAAAAAAAGCAGCACCTCCGAGTCCAGTTCAGAAGGTACTGCAATGGGTTTAAGATAAAGTTTGGCTACCTCAGAAATATCTGTGGGGAACTCATTTTACTTTCAGTTGTAAATGGCATTTCCAAATTTGTCCAAAATAATTCCAGGTGGCTGCTTCTTAACTCAGGAAAAGTGTGTGTTCTCTGAAAACTATAGATGTGGTTTGAATGCTTTTTTGCTGCAAAAACCTTGTGGTAACTTCGGGCATGGCACAAAGGCAGCACAGTCAGATAATCAGTAGGAGGCCCTTTATTAACTCCAACTTTGCCCGCAATGTCCTGGTTACCTCCTGGCCGGAGAAAAGCTCTCCCAGGAACAGCCTTGGGCTGCAGAGAATCAAGTCCAAAACATGGTCAACAAAAACAGTAACTATAATTCCAAACAAGGCAAAATGAGGTAATTAGTCTGGCAGGGCAGGAGAATGAATTCCAGACATGAAGGAACGGCAGTAATTCAACACAGTTGGGAGGATGCCAGGAACACAGATAACCAAAGTCAACGCAAGATAAATTCACGTTTGTACCCAGCAGATGCTGTAGTCAGCTTGCATCTCTTTTAAACTCTCTTCCCAGGTGTGGCTAATGAAGGGAATCAGGGCCCTTTCCTCCCCCATAAGCCACACAACCCATGTTGCTCCCTTCTCTGTTCCTCCCTGCGTGCTCTAGGATGAAGGGGGTGGGCCTGGGTCTTCCTCCGAATTCCCTCTCCCTTGTTCTACCTCTTTCCTGCTCTGCCCAGCCAGACTTTGCCCTTCCCCAGTTTCCTCCACAGCCAACAGAGCCACACTCCCACTCCCTGTCAATTGTTCGTCTTCCTCCTTGGATTCAGACTCCGACAGGGGCATGACAAACCTGTTCCCCTATATTGCTCTGAAATAAAGGGTTGTTGTTGTTGTTTTTAAAAAAGAGGGGTACTTACAGGTAATCCTCGATTTACAGCAGTTCATTTAGTGACCATTCAAAGTTACAACGGCATTGAAAAAGGTGAACTTATGACCATTTTTCACACTTATGACCGTTGCAGCATCCCCACAGTCGAGATCAGAATTCTATTGCTTGGAAACTGGTTCATACTTATGACCGTTGCAGTGTCCCAGGGTTATAGGTATCTTGTTTTGCAACCTGACAAGCAAAATCAACGGGGAAGCCAGATTGTTGCTAACTTAACAACTGCAGCGATTCACAGTTGTTAAGCTGTGGCAAGTGGTCATAAAACGGAGCAAAACTCACTTAACAAATGTCACAGAAATGTTGGGTTCCATTGTGGGGTTATGTCGAGGATTGCCTGTAACTGTCTTGCACCTCTGGAACCGACAATCAGTGGGTCCTATTTCAGGAGGAAGTGCATTAGAATGAATTGTTTGGAAGTTGAGTCCTGGCAACTGGATTTATTTTTCATAAGTCTGCCGTAACCCAACTTCCAGAGAATTCCCTCTGGATGACTAAGAATCTTCATCAGTATATTAGAAATGAATTGTTTATCTGATTATAAAACAGACACTTTTCAAATTTTGTTTTTTTTTAGAGGAAGAGAAGAAAAGGAAGAAGAAGAAGAAGAAGAAGAAGAAAAAGGCTGCAGCACGTAAGTTTCAGGTGATAGTTGGGAATAACGTTCTTTCTTGATTTGGATTAAATTTGAATTAAATACAAAGGGGAAAAAATCCATATTTTTGCCGATATGAAAAAGGAATATGATGAGTTTGGTTCAGTTTAACGTTTAAGTGTCTTTTTACAAGAATATAGAATATGTACTTGTACTTTCAAGTGTTTTACTTAATAAAGAATCAGTATATCGTGCCAGCAG